AAGGAATGGGAAAATTTGGAGAAAAGAGAATGACCCACAGGGCCAAGTGCTGCAGATAGGGCAAGAAAGAAGGGACTGAAAAGTGTGGAATAGATTCAGCCACGAGGAGATTGCTGGAGAGCTTGGAGAAGGAAGTTTGCAGTCGAGTGGTAGGGAGGACAGCTGGGCTATCATGGAGTTAGAAGTAGACGGGAGCTACTTCCTACAGATTTTATCCTCTGTGGGAATCTGGGAATTACAGGGACAAGTAAGAAATGGCGTTACCACCGAGAAGAACTTTCATTGATTTTATAGGGAGACTCATATCTGCAATAGTGTGGCCAACCTCAAAGTGTGCAGGTTTATGTACGGTAAAATCGTGGCACAAAAATGATGGTGATCAGTTGTGTGTGGCAGGTGAAGAATGAGGGTCCACGTTGGATTCATAGAGTTGGGGATGCTTGGGCTGTGACCTGAGAAAGATGGGCGGTGACTGCTGGAGGGAGGGAAGAGCATCCCGCGCCTGGAGCAGTGGAACACAGGATAATGTGGTAGGAAGCTGGGGTGTGGAGGGTGTGGGCCAGCAGTAGCAGATGAAGTTAGAGAGGCAGGTCAGATCACGGGTGACCTTGTGGTTTTCTGAGTGGGGGTGATGGGGAGCCATTGAAGAGTTTTGAACAGGAAAGAGACAGGACCAGATTTACATTTATTAAGGTGACTGAGGCAGCAAAGCAGGTGGAGGACAGGGGCCTGGGGGCCATGCTGGAAACTGGGAAGCAGTTAGGAGACCTGTCGTAACTGGTTTCCTTTCCACAGGAGGTCACTAGGGCCGCCATCACAAAATACCACCGATTGGGTGGTTTATTAATGTTTATTTATTTCTGAGACAGAGAGAGACAGAGCATGAGTGGGGGAGGGGCAGAGAGAGAGGGGAGACACAGACTTGGAAGCAGGCTCCAGGCTCTGAGCTGTCAGCACAGAGCCCGACGCGGGGCTTGAACTCACAAACCGTGAGATCGTGACCTGAGCCGAAGTTGGTCGCTCAACCGACCGAGCCACCCAGGCACCCCTAGGGTGGTTTAAACAACAGGAATTTATTCTCATAGTCCTGGAGGTGAAAAGTCCAAGATTAAGGTGTCAGCAGGTTTGGTTTCTCCTGAGGCCTCTGTCCTTGGCGTGCAGATGGCCATCTTCCCTCTGTGTGTGCGCCTCCCTAAGGTCTCTTTGTGTGTCCAAATCTTCTTATAAGGACACTGGTTATATCGGATTGCCCACCCGTCCATTCCCCAACAGTCTCATTTGAACTCAATCACCTCTTTATTTTTTATTTATTATTACTTTTTTGATATATTTTTTGTTTATTTTTGAGAGGGGGGGTGGGGAGAAGCAGAGAGAGGGAGACACAGAATCTGAAGACGACTTCAGGCTTTGAGCTATCAGCACAGAACCCAATGAGGGGCTCGAACTCACAAACCACGAGATCATGACCTGAGCCAAAGTCAGACGCTTAACCGACTGAACCACCCAGGCGCCCCATTAACTTAATCACCTCTCTAAAGGTTCATCTCCAAACATAGTCACATTATGAGATATTGGAGATTAGAACTTCAACATATGAATTTAAGGGGGGGGGAAGGGACACAATTCAGCCCATTAATACTTTCCATTAGTAGGATGTATGGAATGGGGTCTGGAGACCACTGGCTGTTAAGATTGTTTCCCTTCTCATCATTAGGAAGTGACCAATTCATAAAATCTGTAGAAGCTAACGGTAAACTGGGCATTGTGATGTTAATAGACTACTTTTATTTCTGAGTCCCTGCTGTCTGGCAGAGTCTGAAACAGATGATGCTGGTGCTGGTTGAATTATTGTAGGATAGATGAATGAAACCATTATCTGTACTTGTAATACACATGAAGTGTCCGCCCTTAGAATCTAGGGAAAGCAGGGTTGTAGTGTAAGACTTGCTGAGGGTGTGACTGGATAAAATCCAAACGCATTTAATATTTTCATTTCATTTCATTTCAAGTTATTGTTCCTTTTGGAGGGGGGGGGGGTCTTCCACTGATCAGGAGCTTTCTGGGAAAAGGGTCTTATACAACTGTCTCAGCATTCCCAGCCATTAATCCAGTTCCTGGCACAGAGCACATGCTTCAGTAAAGCTTGTGGAATGAATGAGGGAATTCGATTTAAAAGTTTTAGTGAGCAGAAGCTGGAACTTTGCATTCAGGTTTTATTTTATTTATTTTTGTAACGTTTATTCACTTTTGAGACAGAGCGCAAGCAGTGGGGGGCAGGGGTAGAGGCAGGGAGAGAGGGAGACACAAAATCTGAAGCAGGCTCTAGGCTCTGAGCCGTCAGCACAGAGCCAGACGTGGGGTTCGAACTCACGAACCGCGAGATCATGACCTGAGCCAAAGTCGGTTGCTTAACTGACTGAGCCACCCAGGCGCCCCTGCATTCGGGTTTTACAAGAACTCTTTGTGGTTCAAGATCTATACTACCCCGTCCCCACTTTTGGTGGTAGTGGCAGTGGTGAACCTTCAAAAAGTGCTTCATTGAGCAAAGAGTAGCCATCAGCAGCTGAGAACTCTCTCATTTCACTGCTACATCTACAAACTGATGTTGTCTTTTTTCTTGTTTCAGTGTAGAAAGGTCCTTTCTTGTAGCAAAGGCAATAAGCTACAAATATGTCCTGAAGCCTATACCACCATTATCTTCTTTTTAATTGAAAGATCTAATTGGCTTTATTAAATGACTCATGAGTTGGGCAGCATCCCACCTAGCAGAGATGAGCTCCACCACCACGTTCTTTTTTTTTTTTTTTAAGTTTATTTATTTATTTTGAGAGAGACAAAGAGAGAGCTCAAGTGGGGAGGGGCAGAGGGAGAGGGGAACAGGGGATCCGAAGCAGGGCTCTGTGCTGACAGCAGACAGCCTGACGCAGGGCACAAACCCACAAACCGTGAGATCCTGACCTGAGCCGAAGTCGGACTGAGCCACCCAGGCGCCACCTTAAGAACTCACAACTTTTATCTTCCACCTCTTGCTTTGACATTAAACATATTCTAATTTCCCATCTTAAAAAAGCCTCCCTTGGCCCATAGCTCCTTTCAGGTCTCTCCCCATTTCACCCCTTCCCTTCTTAAAATGAGTTGTCCATGGGGCGCCTGGGTGGCGCAGTCGGTTAAGCGTCCGACTTCAGCCAGGTCACGATCTCGCGGTCCGTGAGTTCGAGCCCCGCGTCGGGCTCTGGGCTGACAGCTCAGAGCCTGGAGCCTGTTTCCGATTCTGTGTCTCCCTCTCTCTCTGCCCCTCCCCCGTTCATGCTCTGTCTCTCTCTGTCCCAAAAATAAATAAAAAC